TATGGAATATTCCAGATAATACTCATATTTTGCAAATCAATAGTATTAATCCTGATATCTGCATAATTACATGCTATTAGTAATATTAATAGTATTTGACATTTAATGTAATATTTTTATGATGCATTTATAAAAGCAGTCCAGGATCTACAGGTACAAACTTACAGCAACTTAACAACCATAATTGAGTCCAAATTTGTGCTGCTAAGGGAGACAGTTGTTAAGTGAGTTTTGCCCCATTTTATGAACCTTCTTGCCACGATTGGTCAGTGAATCATTGCAACTGCTAAGTTAGCAATGGCAAAGTTGCTCTTTTTCTTGTATTGTGTATTTGCATGTTACAGAAGGCAAATTATGTTTATGTTAAACTATAATCTCTTTATGTTAAACTGTAACCTCCATGCATGGATGTCATAATTGTCCTGACCAAGGCTTCCTAGACCGTAATTATGCACACGCTTATTTTAAAAACAAGTCTTGTTTTATTGCAATGCTGGGAATTGTTTTCATTCCCAGCCGGAATTAATCTCAAACAGTCCCTTGAGATAAGCACCCACCTTTCTTTCCTGGGAAGTGCTGCCAATAACAGAAGTATCAAATGAACTAGAAAAAAACCCAACTGAAGTACAAAGAGCTTCAAGAATGAATCTGAACCGAACGAACTACTTTGCTTCCTGCAAAGGTTTCATCATCTTTGATGTTCTTTATACCTTCTGGGAGGGGCAATTGCCTCCCAGCCTTACTCCCGAGTCGCCCCTTTTCTTTCAGCTGCTCTCTCCTTCTAGCAGCTCTGCACACACGTGCTCCCCTGGGTCCTCTGACTCACTGCTGCCAGACTCTGGAGGCACCCCACATCCAGATGGTCCTGGCCCCATCATCCAAGTCCTCTCCAGACTTCCTGACTGATCCCCATTCTTCCCCACTGTCCAATTCCGCTGCTGTCTGCACAGGCTACTGGCGAACCACAACAATAATCTGGGTAACTAGCAATAGAAACCTTTTGAGTTGAATTCTGTGGGTCTATGACAATTTGCACGGTGAGTTTGCCATGGCCAAAACACCATGGCCAACTCACGATGGCTAACTCACCACAGCCAACTTGCCACGGCCAACTCGCTGCAAGACAACTCGTCATAGGACTAGAGTTACACTAATATCAAAGAATTGGTGGAATAGAGCCATTAAAGAAAAGGTGCAAAGGGAGAGACAGAATGAAATGTGAATGGCAAAAATTAAAATCTTTTTTATTTAATTAAATAGAATTGTTAAAATTATTCTGCAGTGGGGTTTCCCATGGTAAGCTGGCCGTGATAAGTTGTTCCACAGCAAATTGGTCGTGATGAGTTGTCTGTTGCAAGTTGGCCATGGTGAGTTTGCCAGTGGTGTGATTCAACCAGTGTAACAACCAATTCAGTGAGCACGTGCTTCACATACGCACATGTGCTTTATGTGCGCACATGCCAAATGTGCAGTTCACGGGTGTGCTCTACATTTTAAGAAGCCCATGTTCAACTCAATTGCTGTATCCCTGGTGAGTAAAACAGCTGATGCACAGCAAATCACTCTGATGTGTGAAACAGCTGTGCTAAAAAAAATCTGGATATAAAGGACAGGAAAGAGCAGGGGTGGATGGGTGGTGCCTAATGCTCACCGGAACCATTCCTTTTCAGGAGCAAGGATGTTACTCTAGCCATGTCATTTGCTGATGTATCTTCCAAGTACAACTACTTGAAAGTGCACAGAAATCATTGGGGTAACATTTATTAAATGTTAAATATTACCCTGAAGGAGAATTCACCCATTCTTCAGAATAGCAGTGAACAGGAAATATTCTGATGCTGAATCAGTCAGTCGATCAATCAAACACTGGGGTCAGTTATTCCCATCTGGAAAAGTTCATATAAATTAATGCACGTTCAAGTATGTTGCACAAAGATCAAAGACACTTGAAGAAAGCATGCCTTTAAAAAAATGTATGTTTAATTCTGTCAGATTTAACCTCTGAACTCTTGCTAGATTGTTTTTGATTCTATCAGTTGACTGATTTTAAGGACGTGCATACTTAACATAAACAAGAATTAAATCAACATTTTTAAAAAAATGGTGATAGTTGCAGAGCAACTCTGAATTTGGGACATACTTTATTCAGAATAAAGAATATCTCAGTAATGCAGCAGGGATATGAATGGGAATCACCCTGCCATAAATGTTGTTACAAGGACTTGAGTTTGCTTAATACCAATTCAGGTCAGATACTAGAAATACATTTTAACCATTGTGGTACATCAGGTCTCCAGTCCTTCCATAGGTGCAGAAAGTGTCCTATATTAAACGACCAATAGACTGATGAAATGTGTTGAATATCCATGAACATCTATGGAGATTCTCAGACATCCAGGTCATGGTTGTCCCAAAGATGCTTTTTCAAAAGGCAACTAGAATTTCTTGTTTTTTCTTTTGAAGACGTTGCGCTTCTCATCCAAGAAGCTTCTTTGGTTCAGAAAGAGTACAACAATGTACAATGTACAGCAACAACAATGATTAGGAGGCTAAAACATACAAAGAATGGTTACAGGAATTGTGTCAGTGTTCCAAGTAATGCATCCATAGAAAACAAACTCCGAAGCACTTGAGTTCCCCAAAGAACAGTTTATTGGATACATCATATTGGCACAAACTGGTGAAAGCCAATTCTGAGGTTTCCCACAGCTTTCACCTAATTCAAAGTAAAAGTTTTCCCCTTCCCCACAAGTCACTGGTCACACTGTCCAATCCAGGTGCTTACCAGTTGCTGGGTTACTTATTCGTCCTCTGGCCAGCCACCTGTGAGAATGTCCTTGGTTCCCACAGGAAAACTTTATTGTTTTAGTCCGTCTAACTATTTCCCCCTTTCCACTGCTGTGTGGCAGTTCTGAAGCCTCCAAGATAGCTTCAGCAAGGTTCATTCAGGATTGACAAATTGCTTGTCTAGTCTATTGAAAAGAAGGACTAGGGGAGATATATCAGTGTTCCAATATTTGAAGGGCTCCTATAAAGATGAGGGGGTCAAACTATTTTCCAAAGCACCGAAAGGCAACACAAGAAACAATGGATGGAAACTAACCAAGGAGAGAAGCAACCTAGAACTAAGGAGAAATGATGAGAGCAATTAACCAATGGAACAGCTTGCCTTCAGAAGTTGTGGGGGCTCCATCACCGGAGGCTTTCAAAAAGAGACAGGACAACCATTTGTTTGAAACGGTATTGGGTCTCCTGCTTGAGCAGAGAGTTGGACTAGAGGATCTTCAGGGTCCCTTCCAACTCTGTTATTAGGTTATATTTTATGGATGAGAAGCAAAATGTCTTCAGTGAAAAACAGGAGTCCAGTTGCCCTTTGAAAAAGTACCTTTGGGAAATGTGCATGAGCATATGGATAGAGGCCATTTCTCGTCACTATATGCTTAGCAGTAGTAGAAAAACTATCTGCATTCCAGATAACCTTGCATTGAGATTAATTTATGGATATTAATCGGTCTAATGGCCCCTTAAGGCTATACCTTACATACCTATTTATGCTCCTGTGCACCTATTACACAGTACCACTTCCACTGTCATCTTAACTAGCTGAGAATTGTGAGGCAGCATGCTCTAACCCAGCGTTTTTCAACCTTGGGCAACTTTAAGTTATGTGGACTTCAACTCCCAGAATGCCCCAGCCTGCTCCAACTTGTTCTTCATTCAGTAGCACTCAGCCTAAGATTAGCAGATCCTTTTCATCCTCCCAAAGGAGGAAAAAAAAAAAGCCAACACCTAGCTCTGTGTTTTATGCACTCTGGCAACTCTTTACAACTGAGTAACCCCAAGAATAATAATGATCCAATGAAAAACCATGTAAGCACGTGTAGTTTCCCCCCCTTTTGTTGGAAAGACATCTGGTTAATGAGTTTGACCTCAGAGAAGTATGGAAATCACGGGCTTAGCAAAGCCAACGTTTTTAAGTCACTCCGCAGCTTATCCCTGCATTGAAAGTTGAAATTTCTTTTCACCACGTCCGTGAGTTTAGAAAGGGCTTTTTATTTTAAATGAAAAAAGGGCTTATACACTTGCATTGTACTTGTTCCCGTGGGAGGAATCCAAAGATAGAGCCGGAACAAAGGAAAAAGCTAGGGATAGTATCGACAAATAACTACTGCCTGGCCAAAGTGGAAAATGTAATCAGTGAGGGGCTTAGAAGCTGTGATTGATGAGAAAACGTTTGATATGGGCTTCAGTGCTGTTGACAAAGAACTGGTCTATGATCAAGCAATGGCTTCACTTCAGGCAAATGGAAAACTGATGGAAGTTAACAATGAGACAAAGCTTGGCCTTTGGCCAACAATATTGTTGGTGGGCAGCCATGATTCCAGCTTTCATCTAGCAAAGTACTTTCCATTCTATTCAAAATATCCCCCCCCCCCACAAGCACTTGTGAGGGAGGGGCACATGACTTGGATTTTGTAACTTGATAACTAACATACTTACTTTGTATTTGTCGTGGCCCATCAGCTGCCAGCAAAGCTAGCAGCAGAGTCAGACAAGGAGGAGATGGAGAGATAAGCCTTTGGAAAGCTCTGATAAGGAAATAGCATCAGAGGCAGAGGCAGGGCCTTCCGTCCTGCGCCAGGTGGAGAGGCAGCTGTCTTCAGGGCCTGAGCTGAGTGAGAGGGAAAAGAGATGGAGCCCATTCCCAAATGCATGTATGCACAGAGAGGAAAGGAGAGAAGAGCAAAGGAAACCAATAAGCTGGCTCTCAGGGAAAAGCAGACGGAAGATGTGGGAGCATCATCACTGGAGGCTTTCAAGAAGAGACTAGACTGCCATCTGTCAGAAATGGTGGGGGTTGGACAAGATGACCTAGTCCCTTCCAACTCTGTTAATCTAGTCAGATCTGTTGATCTGACTACCTGTAATTGAGAGTAGAATAAGATGTCCTAAAAAAAATAACAGCTTCACAGTTCCTAGACCAAATATCACAACTGCAAATTCAAGAGTTGTCAGCATCTATTTAAGTATGGCTTATCTTGAAAGCTGAGTAGGGTCACCTTGGCTAGTATTTGAGGAGGAAACCATTGGGGAATTATTAGACTAATCCATAAGAAGAAGAAAAACAAAAACAATGACAAAGGAATAACAAACTTAGGAGTCCATGGAAGTTGGGCAGCTATAGTAAATTTGAATAAAGAAATACTTTTTTTTACACCCTAGTGCTGCTAAGAAAAATGCATGGATGCAATCACTAGTAGAAGAGAAGCTCCATTTGAAAATATATTTATTCCAGATACAAACCTCAACTTAGCCCTAAGCATTGACTGATTCTGATTCTTTCAATGAATATCATGCTTCAGTTTGCCTTATTTTCTGACTCTGATGTTCTTCCAGGGCCGGTCAACCAAAGAACAATGTTGGGGAAAACCACTCCTATCCCGAAATCATTCCATGGAAGAGGAATTTGAACGCGCTAAAGCTGCCGTTGAGGTATTCCTTGGCATTTCAAGAACTAGTTCAATGGGAACGAGAACCCATCTCCTAAAATTGGCCACTTGCATTCTACTTAACTGGGAATATTGATTAAGAGCACAATATCAATAGCACTTAGACTTATTTACCGCTTTAAAGTGCTTTGCAGCCCTCTCTAAGTGGTTAACAGAGTCAGCCTCTTGCCCCCAGCCAATATGAGTCCTCGTTTTATCCACCTCAGAAGGATGGAAGGCTGAGTCAACCCTGAACCTGGTGAGATTCAAGCTGCCAAACTGCAAGCAGCCAGCAGTCAGCAGAAGTAGCCTGCAGTACTGCACTCTAACCACTGCGCCGCTATGGCTCTTTAACTGTTTAAATGAATGTGTGATGTAGAAGATGGTTTATATTCATCTAATATGCCCATTTTTCTGGAGGGTTTTCTTTATTTAATATTTTATTATTTTTAATTTTCTTTTTGTTTCTTCTGGCACTACAATTTCATAACTGTTTGTTGGATATCATCATTTTTCATTGGTTTTTATATATTGTTTTCTCTGTTTTTTTATCTTTCACGGTTGCAGTACAGGTTGCAGTTACCACCACAATTGAGTCCAAAAATGTATGTTGCTAAATGAGACATTTGTTAAGTGAGTTTTGCCCCACTCTCTGACTTTTCTTTGAACAGTTGTTCAGTGAATCATAGAAGCGGTTCAATTAGTAACATGGTTATTAAGTGAATCTGGCTTCCACATTAATTTTGCTTGTCAGAAGGTCACGAAAAGTGAGCACGTGACCCCGGGACACTGCAACAGTCATAAATGTGAGTCAGTTGTCAAGCATCCGAATGTAAATCACCCTGGGGGTCATAAGTGTGAAAAATATTCGTAAGTCACTTTTTTCAGTGCCATTGTAACTTCTTCTTTTTATATATATACATAAACAGATTTTTATTTTATTTTACACACCTTTCCACGTGGGCAACATGTTTCCAGATTATAACACACAATAGTCATGGCTTTATTTCCATTAATCTTATATCATATCAGCTCATATTATTATCCATTTCACTCATCTTTACATAAATTTGCATTTCATATTTCGGTTCATTGATTCAATATCAATATCATTTCATCCACACATAAGTTTTCAATTCTTTATCCCCTATTATTTCCATTTTCAGCTTACCACCTATTTTATTTTACATTACACATCATTATTATCCTTAATTTTTCTCTAAGCCGATATATAATAAACAATCTAAAAAGAATAAAAGTAAAATAAAGCCAATATATTTAGGATCCACATGGTATTTTCCATTCCCTTACTGTGATCATAATAAAATATTCTCATTGTACACTTCTAATATCTATTAAATGATAACTGTATATTTTTAAATGTATGTATATTAAAGTATCCCCTCCAATAAATCATTAAAATAGCTTCTTAATATATCTCATATTATCTTCACTTTACGTATAATCATTAATAATCATATTTTTAATTCATTTCCATTTCCTTGTTTTAATCCTCCAAAAAAAGGGTTCATAACAGCATATTTCATATACAGTTCATACTCATATATATATATATGTAATTATACATTCCTAAGATATTTCCCAGCAAGTTTTAAACAAAATACCAATATATATTCCATGTGGTATCCCCCTTATAAAATCCCTAGCCCTTATCTCTAACTTTTTCAGCTTTATTATTTCTTTTAATTTTAGCCAGATTTCCCTGGTCTTCCTTCTTTTTTCCTTCTAGCTGTGCCATTGTAACTTCCAATGATCACTAAGTGTTCTACATCAAGGACTACCCACACTGTAATAGCATAGGAGAAGGAGTGGCAGAACCTGGGGGCAGAATTAAAAGAGGAATCAGCCTAGAATCCCTACAAAGTCACAAGTGAAATAAGTCCAACCCCCCTTGAATTCCATTGACCCTTATCTAAATCCAAGCAGATGAGAATTGTTAGTTGAAAAGATAGGTATGATTAGCAATAAATCAGTTTAATTGGACCCTCCTATGTGGACCTGATGGTAAATATTCTTTTTAAAATAAAAAAATTAAGAAATGGGGTGATTCATAAAAGCGTAAGGCAATGTAAGCAAAAACCTTGGTTAACATTGAAACCCAGCAATTAAATGTCCCACTAGAAGGATGGATAGTTGCAGAAATATGACCCATATTACAATGCAAGTAACTACGTAAAAAGTAAATGACTTACATTTAAAACAAAAAATTACTAAGACTTATATGCTGACCCAATCAAACAATGACTCTAAGCAGCTTACACTCTTCATTACAATATTAAAGTTCTAATGCAATTAAATCAAATCTCAAACCACAAAGAGCACATCAATAAAATCATAATACAGTCCCTGGATGCTACTACTTCAAGAATAACTCAATTTTCCCCACTGTCCAAAAGAACCAGATGTTGGCTGCTAGCAAGGAAGTCAGAGATATTTTTTCCTTTCTCAAAGAGAGCCTATGAAGGAAAGTATCTGCTAATCTTTGTCTCTGCCCTGCTAGTATTCTATGTGCATCGAATATTTCACAGAGTAACAAAGTAAAATATATGGCCGTGATAGTGAACCTATGGCATGTGTGCCAGAAGTGGCATGCAGAACCATTTCTGCCAGCATGCGAGCTATCTCCCAGAACTGATCTACTGTGCATGCACGCACACCCCCTGCCAGCCAGCTGATTGTCAGGTATCTGCCATGCATGCACAGGGGGTGAGATGCACGTCTGGGAGACACATGTGCATGCACAAAGGCGTGAGGCACAGGGGGGGTCATGCAGCATGTGCAGGGGGCAGGGGGTCATGCACTCATTGCATTATGGGTACAGGCATGCACAGCAGATACCGCACTTTTGTCATGTGACAACAAAAAGGTTAGCCATCACTGGTATATGGATGTAGCCCAAATCTGACTCACATAAAGCAGCCACATCTCTTTGAAGATAAGACATAATTTTATTAACTTAAATACAGAATGTCCTGGGTACCAAACAAAGCCCAGCGGCCCTATGCCTAAGCTCAACCAGAGCTTAAACTGCATTGCAAAGACAAGATACCCCAAAAGGCAGGCCCAATGGAAATTACAGCATGGTGCGATTACTAATAATCCATTAGCTAAACACATCAGTGTGACCTTATTATTATTTATGCCTTCCTATTAGGTCAGCATGCTAGCCATACTCCTTCTTCAGTTTTCTTTCACCTGTCCAGAAGTTGGCTGCTTCCGGTTCAGACCGGTTCACCCGTACTGGTAATTCCGACCACCGGCTGGGGCCCCCCAACTGCCTCAGTGCTATCCCATCCTATATATCTTACTCACTGGCGTGCTTGCCCCACCCACCCAACCCAGCTTATTTCCGCACCTCGCTCGCTCTATTCACCATGGCTGCCCGAGAAGGTGTGCTGGAAGTTGCGTGCATGAAATGGCCATGAGTTTGAAGCATGCAGTCATATTTTCGGTTCTGCACTAGGCAAAACAGCTGTTAAATTTTGTGAAGCCCATCTCTGCACCTGTCTTAGCATTATAGAAATGTATCCAAAACATGACAATTTGACCCTGTTCATTTGTGGCTCAAGTGACAATTCCGGTTTGATTTGTTTTGTGATCGATTTGTTTGTTTCCTTGTCTGTTCATGGTATTCCCAGCAGCCTTTTCCAATAACAAAGTTCAAAAGCATCAACGCACTTTCTAGCTGGCTTCTTCAAAATCCAATTTTCACTTCCGTAGAGTGTCATGGGGAAAAAGTCTTTACAGCCCCAATTCTGAGCTTACTCTATCTATTCGATATGAAACAAAGCAAAAAAAAAAATTCTGGAGTCCTTTGGAAATGGACAAGAAGGGACTGAACTTAATCACAGGGTGTGTTTGCTGATAAAATTAGAAATTAATTACTTTAGTGGCAGTTTGCCAAGGAGAAAACTGAAAGGAAAATGTCCTGTCTCTTCTACCCTTCACTATCAGCTAGAAGGGATCGCTTGTTAAGAAAATATCTCCATTAAATGCACAGCACTAAAATAGTTCAAACCTGGGCACGTTTGCAAACAGTAAACGAATTAAAGCAATGTAAATATGGAAGGATGGAGTGGTGGTAAATATCTCCCCGAACACCTGATTTTCCTCTTCTCTCATAATTACAAAATGTGCCCCTTGTGCTTCTATTTGAAGTCTAGCAGATATTGAACTGAACTGTGTGCCGTACTCTGAATAAGAAAGTACAGTTTGGATTTCCAGAACTTGTGGCTGTCTCACAATTAACCAAGTGCAGCGCATAACCCTCCACAACACTCTTCTACAACACCACCCAGATAGATCATTGGGAGAAGGAGTGAGAAACTCAGCATTTTTCCTTCCTTCCTTCCTTCCTTCCTTCCTCCCTTCCTTCCTTCCTTCCTTCCTTCCTTCCTTCCTTCCTTCCTTCCTTCCTTCCTTCCTTCCTTCCTTCCTCACTCACTCACTCACTTACTTATGACCAATATCATAATTTAAGAAAGAAATATGGGTGGTTCTCAACTTACAACCAGTTGTTTAGCAACTGTTTGAAGTTATAACAGGAGATGTAAGAGGTGACCAAGTTGAGCCTGAGGGAGGGGTCAAACCTGTCATAAGTCTTCTCACAAGATATGTAAGTCCAGCCCACCTTGGATGCCTTTTTTATTTCCTGCTCATTTCCCTTGACTGTTAGTTGGTCAGATTCTTCTAGAGAGCTTAAGCTTGCAATAAATATTTATACTCATTTGAATTGCCTGAATCTCCTGAGTTCCCCAGTGCTTAACAAGATCCCTCAAACCAGAACTTATGACCCAAATTTGAAGTTCTGATTCCCCTTTTGTAGACACGTGACCATGTTACAGGTGCTCAGCCACCGGTCTGCATTTATGGCTGTTTGAAGCATCTCATGAACATGAGACTATGTTTTGTGGTGTTTTTGACAGAAACCAGTGTTTAGTTCTATTTTCTGGCAATAAAAAGAACCAATAGCAAACAATGGAT